CNGGAGAAAAGAGAGGTCCCGCGCGGCCGCGGGCCTCGTCGCGCGTCCGCGCGGCGCCGAGGCGCCGGCGGATGAGGCCCAGGCGCCGGCTCGCGCGCGCGCGGACGATCCACGTGCCCACGAGCGCCGCGAGGCGCGCGAGCGTCGCGGACCGCTTCGCCCACGCGTCCTGCGCGAGCGCGTCGAACGCCGGCGGCGTCGCGCGCGCCGCGAGCCGCGCGCCCGCGTCCGCGGGGCGCACGACGCGCGCGCGGAGCTGGGGCCGCGGCTCCGCCGGGCCGAGCGTCGCGGCGGCCGTCGCGCGGCGGAGCGCGTCGCGGTCGACGGCCGCGAGCGCGCCGCGGACGCGCGCGGCCTCGCGCTCGACGGCGCCGACCTCGTCGCCGCCGAGCAGGGGCTCGCCGAGGAACTCCTCGGACCCCTTGAACTCGCGCTCCTTCTCCGCGACCTCGAGGTCCGCGAGGTCCTGGAGGAACGCGAGCTCGCGGAGCTGGCGCGCGCCGTCGCCGCCGCCGCCGCCGCCGCCGCCGCGCGCCGCCGCGCGCTCGAGCTCGCGCAGGGGCGCGGCGACCTCGGCGCAGATGGCCGCGACGCCGAGCGCGCCCGCCGCGCCGCCGTCGCCGCCGCCCGCGGCGGCCCGCAGCGCGGCCTGCTCGGCGCGCTGCTCCGCGCGGCGGCTCCGGTTCGCCTCGATGGCCTGCTTCAGGTCCTTGGGCTTGAGCTTGCCCGGGATCTGCGTGAGCACGTAGTTCGCGGACCGCTGGTCGCCCGCGCGGAGGCCCAGGGGCACGCGGAGCCCCTCGGTGACGTACTCCGTCGCCGGCGCCGGCGCCGGCGCGCCCGCGGGGCCGGGCGCGGGGAGCGTGTCGTCGTCGAGGTCCCAGCGCGCGCCGCTCCGCGCGCCCGCGGACACGGCGCCGCCGTAGCGGTTGAGCGCGCCGTCGTGGTCCAGCGCGCCGAGGTCCGCGTCGCCGGCGGTCGCCGCGCGCGCGGCCGCGCCGCCGCGGCGGAGCGCGCGCGCGCGCGCGGTGCCCGGCACGGCGTTGCCGACGACGTCGAGCACGTGGGGCGCGCTGTCGAGCTGGGACACCTCGACGGACAGGCGCATCGCGGCCGTGCCGAGCGTCACCGGCCGGTACCTCACGCGGACGTCGACGCGGCCCTCGGCGCCGACGACGCCGCGCGGCGGCGTGAGCAGCTCGAACTGGGCGTGGGTCACGAGGACGCGGATCTCGTACTCGAAGGCCACGGGCACCTCGCACCGCAGCGTCACGGCCTTGACGACGTCGTCGAGCAGCGCGCGCGCGCCGAAGTCGAGGCGCTTCGGCAGCGCGACGCGGTTCATGACCGGGTACGCGTGGATGGGCACGAGGAGCGTCTCCCCGGACTCGCAGAAGAGGCGCACGGCGTCGTAGTAGTAGCGCCACGCGTCCGGCGCGAAGTCGATCCAGAGG